GGCCGAGGGGTTGAGGGCGATGCCCAGGGTCGGCAGCAGCGCCCCAGCCGCCAGGGGGATGCCGAATACGTTATAGACCAGCGCCCAGCCGAGGTTCTGTCGGATCTTGGAGAGGGTTGCCTTGCCGAGGTCGATGCAGTCGACGACCTGTGGGAGGGTGTGAGATTTTGAGGGTACGAATGCGGGACAGGGGGTGGGTGGGTCGGTCCCTCGGCCGTTTGGGAGGTGCAGGTATGGTCGGGCCGGTGGCCCGTGTCGGCTGGCAGACCCTTGGGCTTTGCACAGGAGGGCTCTTGGCTGGCGCCCTCATCTTGAAAACTGGGGAGCAGAGAATTGAGGACGCCAGCCCAGCGGCGCGGGATCAAACGGCGCAAAGCGCGCAGCCGCCCATACAACCAGGCGCCGCGCGAATCTACCCCTTGTGCTCCGCCTACCTGCCCCAGGCGGTCCCCCATGAGCACCACAGACGCCGCCTCCCCCGCAGCGTCCAGCCCGCCCTTCAAAGCGATGCCCACGTCGGCCGCCGCCAGCGCCGGCGCGTCGTTGACGCCATCGCCTACCATAGCCACCTTGATGCCGGCCGCCTGAGGTTGGCGCGGCGTCGCGGGCGCGTGAGCGTGCTTTCCCGCCGCATGAGGGTGAAATGGCGTGTGATGCTGTTGCCAGCTGTGCATGGGCTGCGTCGTGCGCAAGTGTGATTCAAATTTGGCGCCCTAGCACTACCTTGGCGCCCGCCCCCCGCAAAGCCGCCCCCCCCAAAGCCGTTCTCAGCGCCCCGGTTGCTGGCTGAGACGAGAGACGGCTGCTGCCGAGCCGTGGCAATCTAACCCATCCCCGCCCCCACCTGCATCTGCCGGATCGCCTCGAGCTTGTCCGCGGGCGACATGCCCCCCCGCGCGTCGCCCGCCGCGATGCCGGCCTGCGTGGCCACCGCCTGGGCTGTCGCGTCGTCGTCACCGGAGAGGAGATGAACCCTGCTCGGAGAGGGTGACATCAGCATGATGTCAGCGTAATGGCGGTGTGACGCCAAAGTGATAAGTGCAGGCACGAGGAGGGAGGTGGCCGTCGCGAAGGTGTGTGTGTGTGGGGGGCAGGGATGGGTGGGGCAGACGGTCCGGGCTGGCCTACATCTGAAGAGGGGCCCGGGCTCTCATCCCTCGTCATTGCCTGTGACTTTGCCGTAAGAGACTGGCGTGTGCCACACCATGCTAATCCCTGACTGGTGCAAGCACCATATGCCACCATACCCCCATGGACAGCGCGCGTGCGCATGGAGCAGCAGCAGCCGCACTGGCCTGTCCCCCCCCCCGCCTACGTGTCGCAGTCATCGTGCACGCGCCACCCAAAAGCACCCACCTGATGCCCATCGCCTGCAGCGCCGCCACTGTGCTGATTGCGTCTGGCCGCAGGGTGTCCTTGAAGCCCAGCACGCCCAGCACGCGCCCCCCCGCCGCCACCACCACCACTGTCTGCTTCTCCACGCCCTCCGCCCCGCCCGCCGCGAGCAGCTGCTGAGCAGCTTCCGCCTCGGACGCCGGCAGCTGCTCGAGCACCCAGCCGGCGCGGCCGACGAGGACGGGCTCGCCGTCAACCTCGGCCCGCACGCCGCAGCCGGGCACCGTCGACGGCGACGAGACCCGGGGGAGCGCGAGCCCCCGCGCCGCCGCGGCCGCCGCGACCGCGTCCGCGAGCGGGTGCCGCGTCGACGCCTCGACGGCCGCTGCAAGCGACACGACGCGGTCGCTGTCGCCGGCCGCGTCGGCGCCGGGCGGGAGCCGGACGGACGAGAGCTGCAGCTTCCCCTGCGTGAGCGTCCCCGTCTTGTCCAACACGACGGCCTGGACCCCGGCGACGCGCTCGAGCACGTCGCCGCCGCGCAGCAGCAGGCCGCGGCGGGCGCCCATCGAGGATGCGACGAGGACGGCGGTGGGCGTCGCAAGGCCCAGGGCGCAGGGGCAGGCGACGACGAGGACGTCCACTGCGAGCTTTATGCTGAGCAGGAGGGCGGTGCCGTTGGGGGCGGCGGCGAGCGCGGAGGGGAAGAGATCCGTGCCTGGAGTGGGAGTGTGTGGTACGCGCACATGAGCTCGTGTGGAGGTGGACGTGGAGGGCAGGGGGGCGCGGGGCGGGCGCCGGCACGTAGGGTAGCGGCTTGGCGGATGCCGGCCTGGTGAGTCCAAAGCATGGCGGGCCGCGGCGCGGTGGCGGCCGGCGGCGCCTGGCTGCTAGAGGACGCGAGGCAGCGGCGCACGCACCGATAAACTGCCAGAATGCAAAGGTGGCGGCCGACGCCGCCATGACGCCGTAGCAGAAGCGCCCCGCAACCGAGTCGGCGAGCCGCTGCACGGGCGCCTCGCGCGACTGCGCCTCGGCGACCAGCCGGCCGATGCCTGAATGTATGGTGTGAGGGGGTTATGTGCTGGTGTGAATCACCTGACACGCCGTTGCGCAATGCTGAGTGAATTTCAACTCCAGACTAGCAACTCTGCAATCGGGTTGCAAAAGGGCATGAGCAACCTTGCGGATCAGAGCAGAGCGAGGGGGGGGGGGGAGGGCAACAGGCATTAGAGAGACAGCGAGCCGGCCCACCTGCGAGCGTCGAGTCTGCGCCAGTGGTGGTGGCGCGGATGGTGAGCGGCCCCTCGTAGCAGACGGTGCCGCCCGACACGCGGCTGCCCACTGACTTGGCCACCAGCACGCTCTCCCCTGACGTACGGCGGCGGCGGGGGAGCCGGCGGGGGCAAGTGCGTTTGGGTCAGGGGGATGTTTGCAGCAACAAGTGGGGGGATGATAAGACACGTGAAAAGGAGGACGGGGTGGGGCTTGCTCGTCGGGCCAGTGGGCGGAGCGGCTGAAGCGCAGCTGTGGCGCCTGCAGGTCGATGCACTCAAATCGTCGGTGACCCTGACCTACCAGACACACGACGGCGTGCGGACGCCTGCATTCAGCCTGACCGCTCGAGCGTCCACGAAGCATGCAGCAAAAAAAGAGTGCAAGGATGTGGAGCAGGCGAGCGACCCACCTGTGAGCATGGACTCGTCCAGTGCGGCCTGGCCCTCCAGCACCTCGCCATCAACTGGGACGCGCTCGCCTGCGGCACACGCACAGGGGGTGCGGGCGCATGCATGTGAGTGTGTGTCTGTGTGTGTGTGTGCATGTGTGCGTGTGTGTGTGTGTGTGTGCGCGCGCAAGCGTGTTAGAGGTGCATTTGTCAAGAGGACGTCTTGAAAGATGTGTGTGGTGCGTGTGTGTGTGTGTCTCTGTGTGTGTCTTGTGATGAGGCCGCACAGCGTGATTAAGGGCTGCTGCTGCCCTCTTGCTGCCCCCAGCACCACACCAGCCTCCCACTCTCGCACAAGCAGACCGTCCCGCCCCAATGAGCGCACAAGCCACCGCCTGGCAGCCCCGCGGCACACGTGCCGTCTCACCTGGCAGGACCCGCACGACGTCGCCGGCCCTCACTGACCGCGTAGACACCTGGATGTACTCCACCGCCGGCCCCCGCCCGTCGGCCCCGGGCTTGGCGCCCGGCGCGGCGCCGGGGTCGAGCTGCAGCCGCGCCGTGGCGGGGATGAGGTGGGCGAGGGCCTTCAGGTCAGAGGCGGCCTGCACCTTGGCCCGGGACTCGAGGGCGCGGCCTGGAGGGGAAGAAGGGGCGGGCCGGGGCGCGGCGCCGTGCGTACGCATGTCAGCGGCGGGGAAGGGTGGGTGAAAGGAACGCCATGGTTCGCGCTTGACCCATTCTTGGCAACCCTGTAGAGAGCGCAGCTGAAAGGAACGCCATGGTTTGCGCCTAACCCATTCTTGGCAACCCTGTAGAGAGGGCAGCTTTGGCGACCCTTCCTCGGAGGCTTCCCCAGCAAGCAATGGCAGCTCATGCGATGCCGAAGGGCCCCGACTCCCCATCTTCTGACATGTTGACGCAGCTCCCGGCCCCCACCCGCCCTCCTCCGGCCGATGCAAGCGATTTGGCACCCACCCAGGAGGACGAAGGCCAGCAGCATCACGGGCTCCTCCAGGAAGCCGGTGTCCAGCCCCAGGGAAGGCACCAGGAAGCTGGCGGCGCCCACGAGGAAGCTGGCCGTCGAGCCGACGCCGACGAGGGAGTTCATGTTGGGGTTGCCCAGCCACAGCGCCCGGAAGCCGTCGATCAGGAGCCTGGGCGGGGATGTTTGGGTTATGGTACGTATGTCCGTATGCGCAGTGCTTTGGTGGCATGAAACAATTGGAGACAAGATTCAGAGAAACAGGGCGGGAAACACAATGAGTAGACAACCAACGACACCCAAACCATCTACATTAGAACACGGCCTGACAGGACGTGATTCACACATGCCTTGCAACACCCTCCCTGGCCCCACAAAAGCATCCAAACACGAGGCTGCCTGCCTGCCCGAAACGCGACACACACCACCGCATGCTCTCTCGCGCGCCCGCACCTGCGTCCGGGCCCCAGCAGCGCAAACGCGCCGAGTGCGCCGCTGACCAGCGGCTGGCCCATCGCGTCCATGAAGGCCGAGTGGGCGAACTGGTGGTACCCGAGCGCGTGCAGCACGTGGCCCGCGTGGTGGCTGCGGGGTTACGGGGGTGACCAGGGTGGGGTGGGGTTTGATGGCGCCGGGTGGTTGCTGGTGGGCCGTGTCCACAAGGCCCTGCGCTCGGGGGCGAACGAGCATGCAAGGGCGGCAGCACGGGCGCGGCTACATCACGCAGCGGCACGCCGACCGCGCGCCGCGCGGGTGCCGCGCGCCAGCCCACCTGCAGCAGATCAGCACGAGGCCCCAGGCCACCGCCAGGTTAAGGTTGCTGCGGCGCGCCTCCTCCTGCCGCTTCGCCTCGGCTGCGTCCGAGTCGATCGCGGCATTCTCCGGGGTCCTGATCTTTGCAGGGAAGCCCTGGGGTCGTTTGAGTGGTGTGCATTGGGGGTGGGGGCATGTCAGAGGTGGGGGTGGCAGGGGTGGAGGCGGGGCGTCGGGCAAGGGGAGGGCGGGATGGGGACGGAGCCGTCAGGCTGGGCTGGCGGATTGGCTGCAAGCGCCGGCAGTTGTCCGGTGCAGTGCTTGCTCGTTGGTGGCAAGAGGGTAGTACGAGATGTGTGCAGGACGAGGAAACCAGGCGTGGCTGCAAAAGCCTCGTCGCCCAACTCGCCTGGGCTGCCCGTGCGGCCGCCCGCCTCCATAGCAAAAAACAGGCACGTGCCTGGAGCTACTGCGCTCGCAAGCCGCCACCCAGCCCGCCGCGGCGCGCACTGCTGGTCGGCTGCAGCCCCGCCCCCGCCCGCACCTTGGAGGTGAGCAGCTCTGCAGCCGCGGGCCCCAGGACGGCGGCGTCGCCGCTGAACTGGACGGCGGCCGTCTCGGTCAACAGGTTGACCGCCGCCGCCGCCACGCCCGGCTGAGCGACGAGCATGCGCTTCACCGCGGCGGAGCAGCCGCCGCACTTCATGTTGCCGACGTCGAGGACGACGGTATCGGGCGCGTGCACGTGCGGCGGCGGCGCTGCTGCGCGCAGGGGGACGCGGGAAGGGAGGCGAGGGCGGCGGGGGAAGCATGGGGATGGCCGGGGTCGCAGAGTGGCCCACAGCTTGCGGTTGCTGGTCAGGCAACACATGCGCGTGAGGCACACTCACTTGAGTCCGGCTGCTCCTTGGTCAGGGACTGCACCTCCGTGAGCGCAGAAGCAAAGCGCGCGCCGCGCAGCACGCTGCCGCTGGACGGCCAGCGGCGCGGTGCCACTAGCGGTGCGTGCCGCGCAGCCACGACAGCAGGTAGGGTTTTGCAGGTGTCCCGGACATGGCGCATTGGGAAGCCGTGCGTGCCAGCTTGAATGTGCAGCGGTGCCGCAGAGAGCCTTAGCATGAGGGCCCTGCGCCCTGCTGGTGCGGCCATCCTGGCGCTAAGCATATTTGTAGCACAGTAAGAGCCCTTTGAGAGCAGTCGACGTCAGGATCGATACGATCTAATGTATCTGATCCGGGAGCACTGATTGGCCCCAAAAGAGCGCTCGCGGCGCATCTAAAGGCTCGCGCAGACGCGATTACGCCCCACGTACAGTACAGGGGTAATCCCGGCATCAGGCAGGGTCGGCAGCTGCCGCCATTGCCCCTCCATGCAACGTCATGGGGCCAGCAGTGGTTCCTGCATCGTTCCTCATCCCGGCCTCGCCTGTGCCGCGCCAGCAGCTTGGCACGTGTCAATGGACGCACAGCCGGCATGTGCAATAGTGTGTTCAGTCGACAACCAACAGCGTTGGTCAGGCTTGTACGCGTGCGGGGCGGGCAAAGCGCTCGCTCCGTCACCCCAGCCACCCTGAGGTGGCTGGGCCCAGCCAACATGAGTTGAGTAGTAGCATACCCCGAGCTGGCGTTAGTGCTGGTCTTCCCTGCACGGCATGAATGCTGATAGCCTCCTTTTACATGAATGGCGTCATAGCCTGCTCCTACAGCAACACACAATGCGCTCTCAGCATGCCACTGAGGCCATGGATTCAACTCAACTCTCATCAGTCCTGAAGAGCGCGGCGCGAGCCCTCCCTTTTCCCACCCCTCTCAACTCTCTCTCTCTCTCTCCTCGCACAATCTCAGATCTCTCTGTTCCCGCCCTCAGATCTCCAGATCACGCGACGCTTTTCACGGTGGCCAGGGCCGCCAGGGCCTCGCTGACGTGCTTCTCCGTGTCCAGCTGGCTGTTGAAGGACAGCAGGCACTTGCCAGTACGGTCAAACACGTACGTCTGGCGGCCGGGAAGGACCAGCAGGTCTGCGCCGGTGAGAAAGATCGCGGGTAGGGGGTGGGGAGTGGGGCACAGGCCATGGGCGGCGGGCGTGATGACGAGGATTTGAGTGCACCCCCAGAGCTGCGGAAGGGGAACCGTGCCCGGCGCCATGCGTGCTGTTGCGCATGGAGGGTGGTGGCGGTTGCTTGGCATACAGTGGGTCGGGGTGCCGGAAAGGATACAGGCCGGCCGGGAGGGCGGCCGGCGGGGCTGGGGTCGCACCGTTGGGGATGCCAAAGGTCTATGTATGGAGTTGTCGTCAGCGCATGCGATGTGGGCAGGGAGAGGGTGTGAGCTAATAGTGGGATCGCAATCGGCTGCAACAGGCCCCTGCCACGTGCGCCGCCAGATTGCGCAACGCACAACCTACACGACAAGCGCGCGCCAACACGCGCACGCGCTCCGCGCCAGCCGCCGCACGTTCCGGCACGCAACCGACAGGCCGCGGGCGCTGCAGTCTGCCGGCGCGGCGCACCTTGCGCAGGATGTTGCTGGGGTCAGTCAGCAGCGGGAAGGGCAGGCGCTGCGCCTCGGCAAACGCCTTGTTCTCCTCGGGGGACTGGATAGAAAATCAAGGGAGGCCGCGCACGCGGGTGCGTGGTTTGATTGTGTGTGTATGTGTAGGGTGCGTGGCGGAAGGATGCGGATGGCGAACTGGGCGCGGCAATGCGAGATCGTCGCCGCTCACGCAACGGGTGCCACGGCTGCAGCACACCACCGTCACCCATGCTTTCCGCAGGGCCCACTCTGACCGCCGCATGGCCGCTGCATGGCCGCCGCATGGCCGCTGCATGGCCGCCGCATGGCCGCCACATGGCCGCCGCACGGCCGCCGCATGGCCCAGGAAGGCCAAGCTGACACGAATTCCAACCCCCGTCCCCAGCTCACGTCGCCGCTGATGCCGAAGACCACGGCGCCAGCATCAGTGAACCGCGCGTACTCATCACGGAACTTGCAGGCCTTTGGGTTATGGGTTTTTGTGGGTGTGGGTGCGGGTGGCGTTGGGGGCTCATTTGAGGCAACAAACTCACGAAGGCAGCTCTCAAGAGAGCTGGCGTGGCACGCGCTACCAAGCAGTGCCAGTCCGCTGCCTGCCCTGGTGGCCAGTGCTTGAAGCCCGGCTGCGCCCGCACATTGGTCGACAGCCGCCTGCTGAGTGGCTGGGTATTCGCGCACCTGCTTGGTGCAGCCGGGGGTGCCGGCCTTGGGGTAGAAGAACAGCACCTGTTTTGGGTGGGTAGAAGGACGGGCGGAAACAGACCTGATGTAATGACGTCACGCGGGAGTCCCGAGCGTTGCGTGCGTCTGCCTGATCACTCCAGTCAGAGCCGCACCATGGAGGAAAGTAACTGATAAAATCACCACAAGGGCATCGGCCCTGCCAGAGGCAGGCCGGATCCCCCCCTTCCCTGCAACCATGTGCCCGCGCCCGCGGCGGGTGTAAGTCCAAACCAGCGCCCCGCCGGCCCCTCAGCACGGCCCCGTCCCCGCCCCGGCCCCTCACCAGCGGCTGCTTCCTCTCGTTCACGAAACTGGCCAGAGACACGACGGACCCGTCGCTGGCCTTGAGCACGCGGTAGAACTCGGCGGAGTCCTTCAGGTTCTCGCCCACCTTGAGGGCCTGGGGCGGGCGCGGGAGGGCGGCCAGGCAGGGGCGGGGGTCGCGTCGGCTGCAGCGGCGAGGCGCACGGTCCGCAGCTGCACAGGGGGCGGGGTACGGACTGAATGGGCGGGGCGGAGAGCGTTGATTCATGAGATGGGTGGAGCGGAGGATGTGAGATGTGGCGGCTAGTGTTCCGCCTTGTGGCACCTAAGGGCACATGCCGCGAGCGGCGGCTGCAGACCGGTTGCGAAGGTTGGCGTTGCCGCGTGGCGCAGCGCAACGCACGCCACCAAATCTTATAAACTGCCTCGCGCTCCGCTGCTTAAAGGCTCGCTGATGCATAAAAGTCGCTTGATATACGTGTGTGCAATTGCGCCATCGGATGGGCGTTCATTGGCGACGCCCGAGACGCGCAGATGACACCAGATCAATCCCGCACCCACCGACACAGACACGGTGCGGCGTGACCGGGCCTGGAAAGGCACGGGACGGGCGGCTGCCCGCGAGACCACTGCGCTGCGGCTGGCAAGCATGATTGCAGAGGGTGCTGCGATTGGAGACGTGTGAAACGCGCTGCAGGCTTATAAGCGATCACGCCGCAAACGTTTTGTAGCAGTCAGCAATATGCGCACAAGGATCGCTTACCCTGGTTGGTGGACTGGCAAGTGGCGAAAGCGCTGCGTGCCCCCTCGCATCCCAGCATGGGCAAACGGGCTCTGCAGCGGAATTGTGAGGGCCGTGTTGATGCGCAAACCACGAGTCAGCAGGCTGATGTGGTGTGTAAAATATCACGTGGTGCTCAACTCATAACGACCTGGCCCCCCGTCAAAGGCAACCCCGACCCCAGTTACCCTTGAAAAATCTAAATTAGCGCCCGGCGCCCCCCGCACAGCCCCCGCCGCCCTACAAGTCTTCCCTCTCATCAGCCTGCGGACCTAGGGTCCCAATTGCAGCTGCCGGCTGACCGTCGTGGACAGCATCGGTCGCCCGTATCGTTCCTGACACGCCGTCGTACTCCCAGCGCAACCCCCCAGTGTGACCAAATCCACCCGTCTTTAGTGAATGTATATTGCTTACAAGTCTACAAATCTAGGATGCCTGGAAAGATCATCCTCCTCATCCCAAAAGTCCCCACACTGGTGAAATGCACACAAACTGATACATGGGGGAGGAGGGCAAAACCTCCACCGCGTGAGGCACGCCATCAATCCAAGGACTCTTGCGGGGGTGCAAAATGCGAGCACATGCCATCAGCTGCGTCATGCCTCGCGCCGCGCCGCTACACTCACCCCGTGCGCATGAAGCCCAGATTTTGGCATGGGAAGATTCATCTGCACATGCTGCTGTGGGGGTTTCTATGCAATGCAGGAGGGTCCAAGCCTCGACTCGCAGCATTAGCCACAAGCAGGCGCAGACGACTGCGAGTGCATGGCACCGGGCAAAGGGTACGCCGACACCCGCTGGTTGCGGTACGATATGCTGGCTGCATTGCCGGACGTCGAAAACGCAATGAGGAAGCATTCCAATCATGTTGAATTATGTTAACTTGTTGTCTTCGCGCGGACAATCGACAGCAGGCACATTGCCATGGGGCACACCGCAGTGATGGGAGGAGTGCAGCGGTTGCGCCTGCACAGATGACACCGCAGGCAGAGGGAACAGGGACCTCGCCGTTCCAAACACAATGCAGCGGCCGTAAGTACAGGGAGCAGTTGAGATTCAAGGGCCGCGCGGCTGGCACGGGTGGGCGCCCCAGCTGACAGATGCGCAGTCGTGATGAGGGTGCACCTGGAGCTTTGAAATCATGGTATCAAATGAGCACCGCGCTGCGAATTGCTATGAAAACACAAGTGCGCACCGCACACTTGTACGCACACGGCAGGCCGTGCCGAGGCTCGCACATGGAGTCCAAAAAGTGCCAGCACAGCCGGGCTGCGTTCGAAGCGCGCCTGTCCATGCACAATCACTCTCACACCAACGCCGCGTGTGCGCCCGGCGCATTACGAAAATGGGGATAAGAGCTCGGTGCGTGTAAGTCTAAACCAGCGGCGTGAGCCCCCGGCGTAACGCTGTGCAAGGCACGAGGTTGCTCATACGTCGGACTCCCCAAAGGTGTCGCGGCGCTGCACGTCCCCGCGCGGCGCCTTGAATCCGTTGCCCGCCCGCGACTCCACCTCCACAACGGCCCCCTCGTCAAACTCTGACGGCCACGGCGACCCGCCGCCGACAGCGCCAGCCGCGGCCGCGGCAGCCGCGGCGCGGCTGTGGCGCCGCGCGGAGAACGCGGCGCCGAGCTGCGCAGACCCCGCGGCGAGGAGCCCGAGGACGAGTGCGAGAACGATTACTGAGCAAACGGCGGCCGGCACCAGGCTCCCACGCAGCATGTCGACGGCGAGGGTTTCAAGGGCCGCCATGGTGGCGCCGTCGCAGGTGCACTGGTTGGAGGGGGACAGCATCGCGCGCGCGAGGACGAAGCAGAAGAGGCTGCAGCTGCTCTTCCCGATGTCGACGTTGTGGAACGCGTCCTGTCAAAGAATTTGAATTTGGCAATGTTGGTGGGCGTGTTGGAGGGTTGGGAGGATGCAAGTTTGTGAACGGCAGGCAGAGCTCTGCAACCGAACGGTGAGAGGGAGGTGTTCAGCAAGCCGTGCTGCAGCTGGGGCTGATGAGCTGCGTGCCACCCCGGCAAAAAGGGGCGGAAGTGCCACGGCGGAGCTTGCCTTGGCGCTGCCTGGGCCCACTCTTATGGGGATGATGAATCCGTCCTTCGTCGCGTCGACGGCGCCGTTGGTGGACTGGAAGATCAGCGTCTTGATGGCGGGGTCGACGGTTTTGAGAGTGACGGCCGCGTCGGCCGTCGACTTGACGGTCACCATGGCCACGCCAGTCCAAAGGACCGTGATCGCCACGACAACGGCCAGCCACACGGCCAGCAGGAACAGCAGCGCGTTGGCCGCCGCCGCCGCGGACAGCCGCGGCGCGCCCGGCGGCGGCGCGGGGGAGCGGCGGAACGAGTGCAGTGCCGAGGTGGCGAGGGGAGCGGTGGAGAAGATGACAGTCGCGACGAGGGTGGCCACAAGGATCGCCGGGACCAAGAGCAGGACGGGCGGCGTTGGAAGCGCCAGGAGGTCTGCGGCGCGGACGGTCTGGCTCAGGGCATCGCGCATGTAGTGGAACCTGTAAAGGCAACGACGGGGTGCGTGGCAGTTGATGGGATGCAGGTGTGTGAGAACCGCTGCCAAGCGCGCTCGGTGCAGGGAGCCCATATCGCAGCGCAGCGCCCTGCATGCGGGCAGACACCACTCGGGTGTACAGTAAGATGAATGTGATGCTTATCAGCGCTTTGCAGCCTACACGGCCAGTGTGCCGGTTTCCCCCGCCATTTTTGCGATGCAGTCGGATCGCGGTGTTGCATAGTGAGCGCTCACCAAAGGCCGCTCACGATGCAAGCCCCCATATCAAGCACGAGCGGAACCACCAGGCGGCCCCAGGTGCCTGCTGCGTAGGATCGCTCCGCCATGGTTGCCGACTGCTGTCTACAGTATCGATCGGGTTGTCGAAGCGGTTATAAACAACAGACTTTGCTTTTTGACCCAAAGAAACGATCGCAGGGCCCTTTCGCTGGTGTCGTGCTCGATGAGTCGGTGTGATGCCGCCATTGAGTGACATCGCAAGCCCGTTCGCTGTTCAGATGCGGCAGGGCGGCCTAGCTGGAGCAGCGGGACAGCTGGTGGTAAAGGAAATCTACGGTCTTCTTTGTGGCACCAAGCTGCAAGAGAGCTGGGTGGTGATGGCAGCGAAGCAGCGCTGCTGTCAACAGGTCATCGGCACCACATGTGGCCGGCCAATTGTGGCCTCCCAAGAGTGACACTGCTGGCTGCACCAGCAGCGCCAAGCCCCAGTGGCCCGCATGCGTGGCGGCCCAAGCCGTGAAAAGAGGGATGAAGCTTGAGAGCAAGCACGGGTGTTTTTGAGTGGGGCGGGGCCGGCGGACTGGATAGGACGTGTGGGCAGCCTGCTGGCGCAGTTCGGGGCACGTCGCCCCCGTTTTCCAACCTGTTCCCTCGAAGGCACACACACACACAAGTCTCAAATATGCTGCATGACTGACGCCTTTACGATGGTGAGCCCATGACGCGCGCCAGCGAGGCGTGTGGCAAGCGGGCACATAGGCGGCGGGAAGGTGGACGTGAAACAAGGGGGTGAGTCGAAACAAAAGACAGGTTGGTTGCGGAATCAGGCCGACAAACCGCCTGTGAGGGTTAGAATCTACCTACCAAGTGCACATATCAAAAATATCCTCCAATTTCACGACAAATCAGCTCCTAAAGACAAGCGACGCCAAGGCACAGGTGATCCCGACGACGGCATGCCGCCCTGCTCCCGCAAACGCGCACACACATCCTACCATCAACGCGTGACTGCAGGCAAGGAGAGGGGCCCATGAGTGAATGGGCGTGCATCCTGCGCATCACCCCACGCGCGCTGGCGTCCCCACGCAGCCAGCCGCACCGCTCGACCCGCCGGACTGCCGCCGGGGCGTTGCTTGATGCAGCCGAGCCGTTGTCGCTGGGCGCGCATCTCTCGTAGCGGCCGCAGCCGTGGTGGGCGGGCCAGACAGGAAGACGGGCGAAGCCGCTACTGCCCGGCGCCGGCGGCGGCACGGCGCTGCGCGAACTCTACGCCCTTGCGGATGGAGCCTGCCAACTCCGGCAGCATCTTGTCGTAGTTGCGCTGGTTTGGACAAAACGAGGTTGAGGGTGAGGGGAGATCAGTGATGTTGTGGGTCGAAGGCCAGGGCTGCATGGGCAGGTTGGGCCGCGGCCGTACCACCAGCAAGCAGATCTGAACCGCACCAAATCCAAACGCCAGCATGCACCTTCCCAAAATCGCACCGCAATGTGGCCTTAAACCTTTGAGAGTTTCCACATGCACTGGTTACTAATCTGTATTTCGTGGCCCCACCTGCTCAATGTCGTTCATCGGCCCCAGCGGCAGCAGCTCCTCCACGCCGCCCCGCCCCAGCCGCACCGGCCCCGCGAAGAACGGCAGGCTCGTCAGGCTCGACGCCACAAACGCGCACTCGACCACGCCGCCCTCGCCGGCCATCGCGCGCAGGCAGGCCTCCGCAAAGCGCGCGGCGGCGTAGGCCATGCTGAGCGTCGCGCTGCCGGCGCCGGCCTTGGCCTGGACCACCTCTGTGCCCGCGTCCTGGGGGTGAGGAGACACGGAGGTGTCGCGGGGAAGGAGGGTGGGTGGGTGAAGCGCGACGTGTCGTTTTGTCGGGAAAGAGGAGGGGCTGTGCAGCCGGGGAGGTTGTGGAGGATGGGAGCAGGAGGGGTCGCGTGCACAGGGTATCGACGGCCGTCTCGAACCGGGGGCCTTTTGGGGAGGGGGCTGGGCCCCGAAGGAGCTGCATGTGTGGTGGCAAAGCGCGGAGCCGGGTTTTGGGGCCGCGGGGCCGAAAGCACGGCGCCCCATCCAGGCCCCCGGGCCCCTGGCGCCTGGACACAGCCGCCAACCCCCGCGCCTGCCTGAGCCGGGGGGGGCCCACCTGAATGCGTGCCATGAGCTGCTCTGCGCGGACTGGGTCAAGGCTGAGGGGCGGCTTGCACTGTGAAAGACAATGACAGGATCGACCGTGGCCAGGAGCAAAGGCGAGGCGGGCCCGAAAGAGGGCGTCAAGGTATGTGGCGGGACGGGGTTGCTGTCTGTGAAGCGAGCACCGGAGGCGGTGTCTGGGCAACGGCTTGGACCCTCTGGCTGCAGGGTCCTGGAGAGGCTGCAATCAAAGCGGTCTGCATCGACAAGCCAAATTCAAATGCCAGCGGGGCTGCTGGACCCCGGCGCCCGATTGTGCTCGCCTGTGACAGCAGCGGCAGGATGGTGGCGCCTGCGTGGCCGCCAACCACCGGGATGGACACGTCACGGGGGTCCTGGCAGGGTGGTGGGATGGCGGGAAGGCGGGGGGGCAGGGGTCGTGCAGCATGAGGGGGCAAACGCGATGGGGCCCGGACGAATCGACAAAAGCGAATTGACAAACACACAGAGAGTCTTGGAGCCGTCAGCCCAGGCCAAAGCCGGCGAGCAGAGCCGTCACGAGCAGAGGCGCGCTGGTCGCGCGAACTGAGGGGCGGCGGCGCGAGCACCCTTGAGCCGGCGCCTGGCGCGCGACTGTAGCCAGGGCTCGCATGTGCGGCAGGGGCGCGCGACTGCCCCCCCCCTTCGCCCCACGTGGTGGAGTGTGGGAGGTCCACAAAGCATGCCCCAGAATGAGGCCGCGCTGAGTACGGCCTTCCCGCGCGGCAGTCCACCAGGCCCGGCGCCGCTCACCACTCCGAGGATCTCTCCAATGAAGGCCTCAGCCCTCACCACGTCCAGCGAAGTCACGCCAAACAGCTTGGCGGGATTGTAGGTGCCTTCGATGGGGAGGCGGGTTGGATTGGGGCGGCCGGCTCGGTGCGGAGGAGCGAGCGGGCTTCTACAGGTTGTAGCCCTGGCAAGCTACACACCACGACTGCATGGGGTCGGGGACGGGGGAGGAGAGATGCGCGGGGCAGAGCCCATCTCCGAAGGCTGCGAGGGGTACGCGGGGACAGGAGGGGGGGCAAGGGGGGGGGGCCGCGCACCCATGCGCTTGAAGACCTCCGCAGCTATGGGCACTGTGCTGTTGACCGGGTTGCTGATTACCAGCACCCAGGCGTCTGGGCAGTGCCGCGCGACGCCCTCTGCCAGGGTGGCCACGATGCCTGCGTTGATGTTGAAGAGGTCATCCCGCGTCATGCCGGGCTTACGGGGGACGCCTGCATGAATGAGGGTATGTATGGAGGGGACGTGGAGGGGGTTAAAAGGAGGGGGCAGCGAACTGCGCCGTTAGGCGGGCAGGAGGGGGGCCCGACATGCACGCTTTTGGAATGGGGGTGCAACAAGGCAGGATATTACTGGGAAATTGCGCTTCACTGGCACAAGAATCTGAGCTGCATGGCCGCAGGCTGGGTAAGAAGGGGTGGGTGCGCATTGGGG